ATGACATCTAATTTATGATATTATATAATTATTAATTTGAAGATATTATTTTGTTAAGAATAAATTGAATAGTACTCCTGTTTTAGGTAAATTATCAAGTTGAGTAATTTTGATAATTCTTAAAAACTAAAAGATATAAATTATATATTTTAAAAAAAATACTTTAAAATTCTTAATATTCTTTTTTATGGAAACAGAACTTCAACTTTAAAATTTTAAAATAAAGTGTTTTTGTTATTTTAATGGTCAACCCATTTAATAACACGTGGATTAGAAATATGACTCTGAGGCTCCATACACTTCTTTTATATTTCAAAATAATCATGTAATATATTATAAAATCTTAAGTAATATTATTTTAATTAAGGGATTTCATTATTTTCAATGCTATTGAAATGAACACTTCGGAAGAAATATTTCAGACTTTGGAGAATACTTCAGAATCTTGTTAATATTTTTATACTATATTTTCTTTCAAAAAAATTGACTTTGGTTAAATCAATTTTTTTAAAAGGAGAAAATGGTTTAAACAATCAAATATTAATTGGAATAATTAAAAGTAAATACACTTCACTCTTCAACTCTAACTCCAAAAATTTCAAAGATAGTGGGAAAAAAATTTAATAGCATGTAAAAGCTCGTACATGAAATATAACCTATAATATTATATAATTATCTTTTTGAGATACTAATTTTTTAGAATAAATCTAATTGTATATTCTAGATAAATTAATCAAGTCGAGTAATTTTGATAATTTTTTAAATTAAAAGATATAAATCGTATTTTAAAATATACATTCAAATTCTAAATATTATTAGGAAAGAATATGACCAAACATAATTTCCTTCATAGTTTTTAATTAAAGTAATACTTTTTTTCGTGGTCAAATGTCCACTTAATGCATGTAAATCTGAATCTAGGCTCCCTGCCATTTTATTCCAAATAACCATGTAGTGATATATTATTAAATCTTATGTAATATTAGTTCAATTAGCAAGGTAAAAAGGAATTTAATTATTTTGCTATGACTATTATGCTAAACTCAGACATAAATTAGAAGAAAGTTAATTTTTTCTAATAATATCTTCGTCCATTTTTAAATGTTATAATTTTCATTTTAGAGTCAATAATAAGTATTTTAAATAACATTTTACGATGTTTTATTAATTATATTAATATGTAAAAAAATTATAATTTATAGTACTTTTATATAATTTTTGAATTTTTATTTTTCTTTTGTTTAAAATATCGAATTAATATATTCTAATATAAATTTAAAAATTAGTCAAATTAACTTGTGAAGCGCAATATGACAATTAAAAGTATATTTTATCTTTTGAGTGTAATCAGTAAAGTATAAAAGTGAAGTTACTACATCTGGTGTTTACACCAAACTAATGCAATTTTCATTACTATGTGATTTAATAAAGTAAAACACATTTAAATTAATCAAGGTTAAGAAAAATGAACAATAATTTAAACACATGACACACATATATTAAATTAGTTTAAACACTTAGTCCGAATAAATTTTACCTATCGATTACGAATACCACACAAATATTTTTCATTCAATTTGATGGCTAATTTTGTGTAAATTTAATGTTTCTACTTGAAGGTTGGGTTTCTCCAAAGTTTGTTCTTTCAGTTTACTTTATTCATTGAGACTTCATGACAAAGACGTACCATAAATAATAGGGCTTCATCCTTGTCTTATACTACGTACATACCTAATTTTGACTCAATCGAATCATACTGTCCAAAAATAAAAGTTAGACACCAATTATATTTGACTTTGTCATTTAGTAATGACGAAATAATTTGATAAACTCTTATAATAAATATGTGTTTATATTCTGAATTTTTTTTACTTAACTTTTTGTCCATTAAATTTTTAAACTCAATTAAAATGAGATTTTTAAATTCCTTCAATTATATGTGTACCTCACTTTTCCTTGAATTAATGACATATTATATCCATGTCACATATATTAATATCAAGTTATTATTATTTTTATACCTATTTTATTTATTAACCAAAAAAATTAAATTAAAGAAAAATAATAATAAGTTTTCTATTTTCAAAATAAAATAAAATTATTATTTCCCTTTCATTTCCCACCTTCCCAAACTCAGAACCACTGTCAACCCAATTCACCATCACGCACATTGACCTTAAATTTCTTCTTCTTTGAGATTAAGCTCGAAGTACAAAGGAGAGGATTTTCACAATATTTGTTGGTATATCTATTAGAGATATTTAAAATTTTTATTTTATTTGAATTAGAGGGTTTAATTGACAAAGAGTAAAGTAGAGTTATTAAAAATATGAATCTATACAAGTATAAGGTCCATCAAACCCTTTAGCCTTTAGTAATTGATCTTTATTTGCTAATATGTATATGTAATTTTCTCTTTATTATACGTGAATTTGTAATTTACGTATCTTTAAAAGCTTTTTTTTACAACAAATATGAATTTGACGTTTCACTAAGGTAAAAAATAGTTCCGAGAAAAAACTTGGAATGTTATATAATTGTCGAACAATTAGTATTGTTCTTTTTAAGAAAAAATGGAGAAAACTTCTTTCCAGAACATACTTCTACTTCTAATGCAGTTTGTTAAAAGCATAAGCAATAAATCAATGCTTGTGATTTACGAATTTGGTGTTTAAATGGTAAAGTTAGAGATATTTTGTGATCAATGTAATCTTAATTTTTGTTATATTTCTCTTTTTGATGGGTTATTGAAAAATATGTTTAAAAAAAATAGGTATGTGAAATGATGTGAGACATTTTATTTAATATGAAATGAGACATATAAATCTAATAAATTTATGAAGAGTTAATTCATATATCTTCAATTTTATGATTTTATTATTAAGTAAGATAAAAAATTTAATAATTCTGTCAATAAATTCAAATGAATCACTAATATTATAGACAAAAGTATAGATTTGATAAAGGCAACACACAAAAATGATCATAGCTGGGAGAATCTTTAAAATGAAATCATCATTCATTTTATCATTGATCTCCATATTTACTAATCCTTCTTAATCTCAACTAATATATACACTTATTCTTTGTTTATATATTTTTAAAAATAAGTATGATAGGAAGTGCAAGAGCGATGACAAAAAATAAGAGAATGGCCTAAAATCATAGTTTTTTGGACTATCTATTATATCAATATTTGAACAAGTATTTATTATTATGGCAATTTTATGATTATTGTTTTCTTTATTTATACATATTTTTAGAAAATCATTATAACACGAAGTTCAAGCGTAAATATCATTACGCTAATAATAAAGTAAATATAATTTATAGAAAAATATTTTTAAAATAATAAAAATTAAAATTTAATATTCAGAACTTACTCTTCCACGTGACTTATGTATTAAAATAAATTCTAAAGTGGACTCACAGATTCTAAGATGTACACCTTATAGATCCACTCTAAAATATTTTTGATACATATTCCGTCCTAAAATTTGTCCAAAAACTTTGAAAACACCGATTGATACACCGTTAATTATGGGACCAATTACCCTAAATTACAAACTTAAAGGACTCTTTATGTTTAATTGTTAACAAAAAGGACTAAATCAAGTCTAGCCATAAAATTAATGGAGCAGCTGTGTTTTTTTTATCGCATATGTAGCGCTGATGAACGTGGAATGCATTTTATAAACGCGGAGTAGCAGAAAAAGAAAAAGACCCTGGTCTGTTTGATGGTTACGGGAACCATTTTCCTGAAAAAAAGTAATTTTTGTAATACAAGTTAAAAAAAAATATGATAAATTTAAAAATATTTAAGATAAAAAAAATATTTGTCTCGAGGAGTGACGGATAAAGTGGGGGTGGGGGAACGGGAGTCTGAGAATAACAATAATAATCAGAACAAGGAATGCAATTTGTCAAAATTATTTTCTTTAATTTTCTAATTCAAGTCAATTTTCTTATTTGTAAAGAAATTTATTTTATTGTAAAAAATTTAACTAGATAAATATAGAAAAATTGATTATTCAACAATATGATTTAATGGTTAGTAAATGAAATGAGTTGAAAGTCATTATTTAAATAAAAATGTTAGATAATTTCTTTTTATCTATTATAATCTTATTGTATACATTTACTTTTAAGTTTATTGTTGGTGGGAGGTGGAAAGTATCACATGGAAATCGATTATAAAAATCAAAAAAATGTTTCCTTACTTGCCAAACATATAAGAGTTAGGGGTGGCTATAAATACTGAAAAATCAAATCGAATTAAATTAATTTGATTCTTTGGTTTTTCGATTTGATATCAGTGCTATTTTTTTTAAAATTCGGTTCGGTGTTTGGTGTAAGGGTCTCAAAATTTTGGTGCACCAAAAAATCAAGCTTTTACTTTAAAATATATATAGACATTCTCTTAACTAAAAATTAAAAATTCAATCAACAATTAAATCATTCATGAACAAATCAATGTAACATCAACGTACGGTTCAATAGTTAACTTGAAATTTCCAAGAGAACTCATACATATTTTTATCAGTATCCATTATATAAAGGAACCATCTTCACACTTATTTTTCTTGATAAATTGTTGGAGGCACAATGTTCTTGATATAAATAAATATAGTCTTTTAGTTAGTATGATAAGTGTTCCACGGTAATACACATCATTCCTTGATATAATTTTCTTATACTTTATTTTTGTTTTATTTTTCATTCATACTAAAAAACTAATTTAAAAATACTGAACTAAATTAAGCCAAAGCAGAAAAATAAATCTAACCAAATTAATTTAATTTAATATATAGTATACATTTGTCTAAAATCGAAAATCGAAAACCGAAAAAATTGAAGGCTCATAATTGAGAGGAAACAATTGATAAATGGCGGAGCGTGAATGACACACACTACTGGCGCGTGAAAATATTGCTGAACTAAAGCAGCCGCATCCACGTCATAATTACCCCCACACGGGAAGAAAAAAAAAAGAGATGGTTCATTCTCATTGTAATCATCGATTGGTTCGTTGAAATTTTTAGTACCAAATTAGCCTCCTTCCATCATGATTATGGACTTCAACATGCCCTACTAGGAATTAAATTTTGTTTAGCTAGAGGTATAAGTATGCCAATTTCTCTATCTTCCTTCTTCAAAAGTACAAATTTTGGGGTTTTGTGATGTGAATTTTGATACTACCTTATAGTGAAATTCAATGGAGCATTCCGACGATCTTTGCAACATAGAAGGGAACGGAAATGGGAGAGGTAATAACGGTGCTTCCGGTGCTCCGTCAACATCGGCCGCGACTAGTTCTGCTTACAAGTTGTTCGGCCGGCAAACCTCTTTCCACCAGATGATGGGCGGCGGAAAAGGTAAATTCCTCTATTATTGAGTCTCAAAGAGATCAACTGGCAGAAGTGCGCTCTTTGGTTTAACTGTTACGCCAAGTTTCATGGAAATGAAGCTGATATTTCGTCTGAAAATATGATCATATAACTTTGATTAAATATGAATCCCGAGTTTAAGTTTTTGATTTTATGTTAGGTTAGCAATTATAATGTATTGATCCAAGGACTGAGACTAGGAAGCGTGTAAAGTGAAAAATCATGCCTGTATATGATTCTCTTTGTGCTCATGCTGGAAATGCTTGGAACTGTGGCCCTGCAGCTTTGTGGTTGAACTTTCTGATTTAATTCATGTCGGCATAGAGCTTAACAACTCATGTTGTTACTGGTTGAATTACCTTTTTATGCGTATTTCTCTCTTGCCTTGTATGAAGGATGTGTTCTAAAAATAGATTTGGTAGTGGAGCTCAATCATCATATGAATCAAAGATGGCTCTCAAATGAAGACTTAGTTATGTTTCTTGACAATCTCCACATATATTAGCTTTGTTACCTCCTCTACTTCATCTTTGAGTGCAGTAGCTATCTTGAAGCCAGGGCTGATTGTTTACATTCTCCTTAATTTGTGTCTTCTTCAAATTTCATTCTTGTTGCTTGATGACTTTGTTGTGACTTACTTGTTGTTTCACTTGGTATAAGCTGCTGACGTTATATTGTGGAGGCGGAGGCGTGTCTCTTTTGGCATCATTGTTGCTGCTACAGTTGCTTGGATCATTTTTGAGTATTCAGAGTTACCTTTCTTATCAGTTTCTTCTGATGTTTTACTGATTCTGATAGTTCTGCTCTTTCTCCGTGCAAACTATGCAGCCTTCAGGAAGAAGTATTGTTCCCATACTCATTTCACTAATTCGTTTAGATAGTTGTCTCTTTCTGTGTTTCGTTCTCCTATGGAGAAGTTCAACTGATTTTTCTTTTTCTATCTTCGACAGACAACTCCCAGCATTACCAGAGTTAGTCTTGTCAGAAGAAATGGTTAATAATGCTGCAGCATCATTTCGGGTCAAAATGAATTATATGCTTCTCATGGCTCATGATATCACTCTTGGCAAAGATTTCAAACTATTCTTCAAGGTTAGTGCTCACCAAGTGTGAGGATGTGATTCCTTATCCAAAAACAACAAAAAAAAGGCCAAAAACGTAGGGGTGTGATTAATGCTGGACATTGTGCCTTTGACAACAATAAATCAAACTAAACCATGATCTCTGAAAAAACTTAAACAATGATTTTAAATTAGGTGTTCAAGTGTTTTTCCCAAGTGAATAAACTGAGAAGAAAAAATTAGAATTGACCTGGAATCATGCTGAGAAAGGGAAAATGCATTATTGTTCTGTAATGTTTTAACTTTCAACATAACAGAGTGGAGAATGTCCAGTACTTTGTGACATCTGGTGCATATGACCAGTAATGTATTGTTTTCATTCAACAATTATAAGGTGCTTATGAATCTCGACGTTTGTATTTTGATTTATTTCATAGTGAGTTGTAAGTATTACATGACGACTGGGGAATTTGTGGAGCATAATTTGTGCCTTTAGGCCCACAACTGGCTTCATCTCCTTTCAGATTACGTGCAATAAGTTATCCAGCTTGACTAGTAATTGATGATATTACAGTAATTTACTTCCATCGAGCCACCCATGGTAACTGATGGTTTAACTTATGGGTTGCTGTTATCATATCTTGAATATTGTGTCCTACTTTATTCTTAGGATACAAGTGTTGGTTATAATATGGACTAATTTTCATTTGAATAGAACTGAGTTGGCCAAATTTTGACATATTTGCAGGTAGTTATTGTTCTGTGGCTTCTATCTGTCATAGGAAGCGTAATATCTTTCTTCACACTTGCATATATTGGTATGTGCCTATTCATTACACTATGATGTAACTTGATGAATCTTTATAGATATATGTGCTGAATGAATTTATCCTTCTCTATTTATTTCTTGTTGTGCTTTACTGAGTTTCCTTGGTCCCTTGTATGACTGAGCACCCTTGTTCCAATTTAATAAGGACAAATAAGAGAAATAAATTTGAGTAGATTACTGTAGTATTAAACCTATGAATCATACTATGGAAAAGAGCAATAAAGTACAAACATCAGGACATTGTAAGGATGACAATGAACCAATTTGGTTTTCGGGTAGATTTATTATAGACTCTATTTTCCTAACAAGATTTACAGAAATTTATAGTAAGAGGCAGAATGATTTCATATTCATCTACCTAGAGAAAATATATGATAAAGTAAGAAAGTTTTTTGCTAAGTCTTTGAGACAAAACAACAAACATATCAAAAGTAACATGTAAAAAGAAAAAGAAAGTATAGACATAATGAGTATGAATACTGTAACGGATATGTAAGAAGTGGTACATGGTTGAGAACTGTTGGAAACTAGAAGTGTCTCTTATACTCATGAACCTACGTTGGGAGTTTTGTTGAGCTTGTATTTGTAGTCCTTAGTTATGAATGAGATAATCGATACTTAATAGACAAAGAATGAAGATTTAAGGTGCATGCTATTTGGGGATGGCATTGTATTAATTGACAAAATTAGTCAAGGAGTGAACCAAAAGTTGCAATCATAACGAGCACTATTACAGAGGGTAATGATTTTAATGATAAGTAAAAATAAGACAAAAATACATGGAGTAAATTTAGCTCCCATAAACAAAGGTGAAGTGAGATGAGATATAATTGTGGTGCCTACAAGTAGTTAATTAAGATATTTAGTCTCAGTCTTTTCTAAGAATGACATGCTTGAAGAAGAAACCGAAATTCAATGGTCCTACTCTGAGTGGAATAGGTGATTGATGAACCCCGATGATTGGCTATGGAAGAGAAAGGGATTGGAATTTTATCGGTAAAATCCTTCTACAAAACTTTATTGAATTGAGAGGACACAATATTCTTAGGCTTTTTAGTTTAGATTCCTAGAACTTTTAGGAAAGTATGCTCTCTCACTTGACTAGCAGTAAGAAGGGAGATTCTCATAGCGGAACAATGAAGAAGAAGAAGAGGATTACGTCTGTCAACTTTGCACTACATATGCAAAGACTAGGGAGAATATCTTGAACATTTACAGTTAAACTGTCCGACCGTAGGACTAGTTATGATAGACTACGCTGAAAAATTTCAGAATATTGTTCATTATGGAAAAAAGATCAGAATATTGTTGTCAATGCTACCTGTAGTTGTGGATGTGTTGTTCAATCAGGTGTCGAGACATTGTAAAAAGAAGGCGAAGAGATTGAGATGTAGCTCATGGCCTTTTTGTGGCTTATAGAAGGAGAGAGAAATAAGAGAGCTTTTGAATGAGTGAGAACACTTCGGTACAAAATGAGAGCATGTCTTTTGTTTCTAGTCAATTTTTTTAAAGTGTCATAAGGTCTCAGTCAATTTTGACGATTTGGTAGTCTTTTATACTTTATATAATCATATTTTGTGCAAGGTTCTTTACTTTCTGTATCAACCCTTGTAGACTCGTGATTTACCTCATCACATTTATAAAATCTTTACTTTATCAAAGAAAAAAAAAGAAAAAGAACAAAGAAAATGAAGATGTAAAGCAGTAAAATAAGATGGTTGAAAATGGAGGGGTGGTACATAATGATATGTGATTGAAGATACATAATGAAGTGAAATGTAGATTTTATGACTACTGTGAAACTAACGATGTTATATGAGAGTGAATGCTTTTTTTTTTTTGGAAATCAGTCGTATCCACGCTAGTTTGCTCGCATCTCGACTAATCTACCAGATATCCAGTATTTCCATTAGCATGAATACTGCGCAACACTGTCCACCCAAGTTTAGACATGAAAGAATTCACTTTTGGTTATTGTTATTAGTATCAAACTTATCTCTAAATGAAGATATTGCACGCTCCTTGGTTCGAATACCTTCATGTAGAGATAAGTTTGATTTGTCTTTAAAGATTAATTAGTCTCTAGTATTAAAATTAACAGTTTTGAACAGAGCAAAATGAATATAAATATGTATATAGTTGACCCTGATTGGTCTGGGGTCAAAGCACAGTTGTTTGATTGACTTTATTCTGTTGAGGCTTAAGATTATATTGTAGTTGGTAAGAAAATCTCAAGTTTGCATGAATAAATCTTGAAGATTTTATGCACTGGCGTCCCTGTGAAACCCTTGAATATCATCTAAAATTGGGTGGGAGTGACCAAATAGAATGATATATGCTTGAAAAGCGCGATGCACTTCTTTATCAAGTGGTTTCTCTTAGGGATGTCAATGGGGCGGTTGCGGGGCAGATCCCATATACCCATGAAGATAACAACCCGCTCCTCCCCTCATAACAAATATGTGTGTTTTCAATCCGCTCTACCCCACCCTGCATAGACCCACCACACCCTGTCCCACATAATATTTTTTCTTTCTTAACCTAGTTTCACACGCACAAAATAATAAAAAAATATTCATAAAACTATTTTGATTTTTCTGCTGAGTATTAATTTAAGTTAACTTGTACTGTTATATGATTTCTTACTACTAACATAGAGCATTATCTCAATCATGTAGTTGGGGACAAAAAATTTCTTGTTTAAAGAAGGGGTCAGGGGATCTGTGGGTCAAGCTTATGTTTTCATTTGGTTTCTAAACTTTCTTTGTCAAACACGAAACAATACAATTTCCAAAAATTACAAGGCTTCAAAAATATTTGAGAAAAGGCAATGACGAAGTAGCTAAAGAGAAATAGAAGCCAGGACTAACTTACAACTTACAAGTATTTTTTTCTCAGTATTAGAAACTAATTAAGTGGAATTGAGTGGTTGAAATCTTGTAGAGTATCTTACTGAGAACTAAGTTAATGATCGAAATCAACAAAAAAACTAAAACTAATGTTAAGTTTTGTAAAAGTTAACTCCATAACTGGCCAAAAAATTCAAGCAAAAAATTTCATGTTTATATATCTACTAAACTAATGGAAGAAAACACATATATTTTGAGTCGGAATTCCGCAACCCACATCCACACTACATCCGTTGAAAAAAGTTTCAACACACCCTGCCCCACCCTGCCCATTCCGCTCCTGCATAAGGGGAAACCCTCTCTGCCCCGCCTCATTGTCATTCCTAATTTCACTGCCCTACGCTGCTATTTTTACTGGTTTCATGCCCATCCTTGTTGGTCCACTGCAACAAATCTGATGACTTCATGCAGATGATATAGTTCCACCACAATAAACATCCTCTCAGTTAGTGGGTCCCATTTCTGCAAAGACTGCGTTCATATTTTTTGTTTCTTCATATTCCCAAAGTTCCACAACAATTTGCATCTTCCATGATTTGAGCTGTGTTTTTCTACACCATGGCCAGTTTGCAATTCTGATTTGTTTTTGCCTCCACAATTCATCACAGGAACGATAGTATTCATTACTGTGCCTGCCTTGTATAATAAATTTGAAGACCACGTGGATCGATATGCTGGAAAGATCCACAGGCAATTTTCAAGGCACTACAAAATAGTGGATGAGAGCATTAGCAGGCTGCCCCGGAGTATCTCCAAGAACAAAGAACTATAGTCTTTTTTACCAAGTAGGAGCATGTTGATTTGCATGAGATAAAACTTTTAGGTGTGCATTCCTTTAGTTCTGATTCTCCTTTTCCATAGAATGAGAATGATCTTGAAATCGTTCCTGTTTCCAAACTTCAAGTTTGGATTTTCAGAATTAAGCTAACAATGGCAATTGTCACCTACTCTCACCATCTACGCTGTCCTAGTGGCAGGTGTTACATAGTACAGATTTTTGTAAACATATTGTATTATTTTTTGTGTGTTGTTGTTGAAAAGTTAACATCTCGGATAGACAACTCTTTCTTTTTTACAAGTTTAACAAGCACTTCAAAAACTGAATTGTACGTTTCTCTTTTTTTTTCTCCTTCTTGCTTATTGTCTGCTTCTCTTCTTCTTCTTCATATCCACATCAATGTCTATTTTCATATTGCAACCAAACATGAATTTCAAATGATATAAGTTCTATCATGTTATTCTCACATGATACTAAATTGAAGTATGTACTGCATAGCTCAAACTTACACACACAATCTGGAAGTATAAACTGTGAGTTCACAATGTCACAAATTCGTGAATGTTTGTATTGTTTAGTCATCCAAATCCTAAGAAAACTTAATTGAAGTATAAACTACTACAGTTGTTGCTTTCTTACACTCATTATTCTTTCTTAGTCTCTAATTGCCAGAAGTTGAAATCACAATAAATGAACACAAGCTTGAAGTTTATTTAAATTAATTAGCTTGTATTTTGTTATTTAGATATAATTTTTTTGATTATATATATTATATTTTATTTTATACTAATAAATTTATTTAAATTAATTAGCTTGTATTTTGTTATTTAGATATAATTTTTTGTTTCTAAAATATGAGTTATTTAATTTATTTATTATTAATATAAAATATTATAATCGGACTAATTGATGTATGAATTTAAGAACAATTCATAAGTTATACATTACACAAGTAGTTTAAAACAAGAGAGTGTGTGTGTGTGTGTGTGTGTGTATATATATATATATATATATGACAAACATACACAC